CTGGATGCTACATTTGATCATGCAAGATGGTGCTTGTTGACCCGAAAAGCAGACCCTGCACCTGTGGGAAAAATACTAGGATGAGGATGATGAAGAAAAAGACACAGATGCTTCAGAAGAAAGACATAACTGAGACATTTTCTGTTATTTATTTGTGTACATCTTTATGTGCATGCACGTGCACATTTATATATTCTGGGTACTCTTGATGAAATAATTCTTTTACTGGCATGGCACAATTATATCATCATAATCCAGGCAGTAAACCTGGGCAAGGAAAAATTAATTAACATTCCATCTTACTTCAATATACAAGTTCATTGACATCTGTGAGGTCTAACCTAGGAAATGCAAGGCAGTTTCTGTATTATCAGTTGCCTTTAGTTGCCTACACTAGAACATCTTTGTCTGTGATAACAGATATTTGGAAGTCTTGAGGTACAGAACATTTGTATAACAAAAAAATAAATATGCTTCTATATAAAAACAAGGTTATCAGTTGAGTTTTTATAATGTTGCAGAGCTTTGGAGCATGCCCATTACTTGGAATGATTGATGTAACATAATTTAACATTTAAGCTTTTCCTTATTTGTAAAGAGAATGCAAAAGTAAGAAATCTTTTAATGCTATTTGTGAATGACCAGTCAATTCACCAATTTTGGTTGTGCCATCTTACACTATGGGGTTATTTTATCGGGTTTCCCTTCTCTTCAGCAAAGCAGAAGAGCAAGACGTTTATAAGGAAAGTACCTAAAAAGCACAATGACCCATGTATCTCACATTTAATCATTACTTATATTTGTTTAGTCTTCTTGCTAAGACTCAACACCGACTTGATTGCACATAATCAATCACTTATATCACCTCTAGCTCAAAAAAGAACAAATAATGTATTGCAACTGGATTTAGTTCAAGTCCCATTTTGTGGAAGTGAGTGACGGAGCAAATCCTCTGTTCTTCAAGCAACCTGTAGTATTTTATCGGAGAGGGAGGGGGCAGATTTTTGTAACACCTTCATTTTTTTTCCTCTAAATTTGGCTAAAGTATTTGGGGTTATAAGTTACAGATTCTCTATTTGTTTTCCCGAGGATCTTGTGTTCTTTCATCAGGTTTTTGTTTCCTGAATAGCGCTTAATGTCTTGTGCTAGGAACATGGAGGTCCAGTTTCTAGTGCACTGTCAGCTCACTAGGTGATGTTGCACTCTCCATTTCTCTCAGGCCAATATCTCATAAGATTTGCACAGGAAAAAACGAAGGAGGGTTTCCAATGCATGCCCTCTTGAGCTTCTGAACGAAAGGCAGGATATAACTCTAATAAGCAGAACACAGTGGTGGTTTCTTTCTGATTTAGCAAGCCATGATTAAAGCAAAGCTTATTTAACATAAGGTGTGAAAACAGCCTAGACCAGAGGTCCCCAACCTTTTGGGCACCAGGGACCAGTTCCGTGGAGAGAGGTTTTTCCACGGACCGGAGAGTGTGTGTTTTTGTGGGCTGCCTGCATCTCAAGGATGAGGCTTTGCTTGTTTGTGGGGCCTGATTGCGGGAATGCAGTGGCCCGATACTGGTCTGCGGACCGGGAGTTGGGGACCTCTAGCCTAGACCCTTCTAAATGTGCTGTAGTCAGAAATATCTTAATATAACATTTAACCTTAAACAACTCTCACCATCTCTTTTTTTAAATGTAGGATAAGCTGTCTTCAAATTGAGATTCTATTGAGTTTTATAAATAGTAGATTGTAGTTAATCAGTATTATTTTCAGACAGTAGTACTAGAAGGCAGGATACATAGTCCATTAGACATGTTCAACAAAAATACATTCTTATCTTAACAACTTTATTTAAATTTACTTTTCTGTTTTCACGCATTTCTTCTCCTACAGTATTACCTCATTTAATAAATATATATTTCAGTTACCATCAGGAACAAAAAATAACTATTGTGAACCATGATAGGCATAAGAAGCCAAAGCAGAAAAATGTTAGTGAAATTTAAACTTTCATGGAGAGAATTTTTCCAAATGTGGTATCAAAAATTTTAACGTGGGTATGGATGTGGTTTTTTAATATGTAATCCGAAAACATACAACTGCTCTCTCAAACTATAGGGAATATTTATGGATATTTGAACTACCACAAAATCTTGTAGAAAATGTGCCTAAACACGGAATTTGAAAAACAGAATAGAGTTTGGTATGACCAAACAAGTTCAAGGAAGTAACAGTCATTTTTTTCTAGTTGCATATTAACTTAAGTCCCTAAAATGTCTATTTCTAAGAACGTTATGATGTTTTTAGAACTTAGATTCTTGTAAGTACCTTGCAGAAACTCTTCTTCTGGTACAATTTAAAACAAAGGAACAACAAAATACAGATTTACAATATTGCCAGTCAACTTGAATCTACACACCAAAAGTTTCCAAGTGTTGTTCATGGGCTCGATTATTTATCCTCATAGCTGGAAATGGAAGTTCCAGCCTGTAGAGAGCTTTGGAACATATCCATTACTTGTGATGACTGATGTAACAGAATTTAACATTTAATATTGCCTGAATTTTGAGGTCTGAACGGTTTTGCTGTAATATATGAGTTTTGAAATATTCTGTGCAAATCAGCTCTATTTTTATTAATAATTTAAACTTCCCTGCATAGTTTATACAAGCTGGAAACATTAATGACATGCTACCTTATTTTATCTGTTGGTAATAATCATATTCCTTTTGGCTACATTATTGAACACACACACACACACTACAAACATAAGTCTTCTGCTGTGTCCTATTTCATTTTTCCCCTCTCTGCGTTAGTCATTATTCTTTCATAAGTTATGGGGGGAAAGTTTAGGTTTTTTGTATTAATTATATTGACTTTTTTAAATAAGAAAAAAGTAGCTTTGCAATATTTTTATAAGATTGCTTCCTTCCGCCCCCCCCCCAAAAGCCCAAAGTGATTTTTGTTTTGTCAGTATTATAACAGAAAATCCCTGTGGCTATGATGAAGACCCTACTTACCCTATCATAACAGATGGTGCAACAATTTGCACTCTAAACAGCTGTTTCAGGTGCATCCTCTGTCTGCAACTAGCTAAAGTTGATGAGTTCTTTCCTGGAATTATGTGGCTGCCCTCTGTAACTGCCAAGTGGTCTTGAGAAATGATAGTCCTATCATTTTAAGCTTTAAGGCAGGGGTCTTCAAACTTGACCCTTTTATGACTTGTGGATTTCAACTCCCAGAATTCCTCAGCCAGCATGCCTTATGATGTTTGCCAACAAGTTAGATATAGGACAGTAGTAGATTTAAATAAGTTATAGATGATAATCTTTACACATCCATGAACTCTAAACCTAGACTCTGGATTAAGACTAACCATTCCTGAGAGGCTCCAAAAGATTATGGAAAAAAAGCTCAAGCTGTTCTCAGATCTGTACTTACAAACTACAAAAAATTCTGCATGCAAAGTCTGGATATAATCATTGTGACAATTCATGTTTTGTTCCAGAAACGCTATCCAAAAGTAGCCCAATTATGTAATAATTATTAAAGCATGTATCCTCTTTGAATAATTCCTTTACCTTCAGAATATAGTATAACTAATCTACCTGCTGGCAAAGCAGCTAGTCCATTTCCAGGAAACTTTAAAGAGGATAGTTCAACCTTTCTTTAAGAGTCTGAGAGTTTATAAGACAAAATCTGACAAGCAAGACCAGGTCACCTAAAAACAAGGGACTCCTAGTTGAAATATCTCAAATCTTTACAAAAGTTTTTTTTTTTAATCACTATGAGATTCTCTCTGCTGTCAGTTAGAATCTTGACAAATCCAGGACAAAAATCCAGTAAAAACAACTTCAAAAATCAATGTTCTGTTCTAAAAACAGACAACTTTCCTTACTAGAATTATTTGGATAAGTTTATCACCTGACTGACCTACATACATAATACCTTGTTCAATATTGGATTTGATGCAATGAAACTATACTTATCTAGGGTAATAAGTGAAATAAAGTGAAAAGGGTAAAAAATAACAACAGGAAGGAAAATGGTAGACGAAACTCATAAAATTATGAAAGCAACTAAAACTATATAGCAAGAATTTGCTGAATAAGAATAGAAAGGATAAGAAAAGCATCTTTGTAATGAAAGGGAAGCAAAAAAGACGTCATATCATGAAGGGAATGAGATGCTTCATAGAATGACAATAACAATGAAATAACATTCAAACAAAAACTTTTTGGACTTTTTATTGTAAAAGAGACATTTTTTTAAAGTTATGGCTGTTTCTCTCCCTTATGTTTTCTGTTGCTGTTCTACAAATACCAGCTTTGTTGCTGGAACCATGGGGATGAATAAATCATGTTCAAACAGACAATTCATCAGCCATTTTTGCACTGCATCAACTAACCTGTCCTGCATGTTAGTTTTCCAGGAAGATCTGACATTTTAAATGACAATTCCCACAATACAAAGCAGTATGGGAATTCTCGGGATTACCATCCAAAATATTTAAGAGCACTAAATTAATCTATCACATGTCTAATAGCTACAAATGGAAATGTATTTTTGTTATTCTTTTCAAATAATAAACCTTTAGTTTCTCTTTGTACAATTTGTTATAATGACATCAATTTGAAATTAGCATTTTTAGAATTAGAAATTTTGAAAATTACTTTCAGGAAGTTTTGAAATAACAGTAATTTCAATATTGATGACAATAATGATAAGAGCTAATTTGGTCTAAATTAAAGCATCAAGCTAGAAACTTGCAAACTGTGATTTGTGCTCCTGCTTTAGGCATGAAAGTCAGCTAGATTACTTTGGGGCAGTCATTCTCCCTCAGCCCACCTCACCCCACAGGATTGTTGTGGCAGGGAAAATAGGAAGGAGTACTAGGTGTGTTCCCCATCTTGAGTTATTTATAAAAATAATAACAGTGGGATAAAAAAAAATCTAAAATAAATAAAAGCCCACCATAAGATTTGAAGCACAAAGTTATAGAAGCACTTACATTTGCATTGGGAACACTTCCACTAACACAGATGACATCTTGTTTTTGAATTGTTAGTACCTCTTTTGAAAGCTTCAGTCGGATTTCATAGGCATTTTCAGATATTTCATCATATAGCAAAGCAATTCCAGTTTTTGTCTGTAAAGTAAAATAATATCAGAGATCAAAATGACAGACTTGTGAGCATGTGTCTTTTCAAAATGATACATTCTTTTACACTGCCCTCTAAAATCATTTATTAAACCAATTCTTAAGGCCTCTTCTTAAAAATCTCCACTGATGGAGCGCCCACGATTTCTGGAGGCAAGTTGTTCCACTGGTTAATTGTCCCCACTATCAGGAAGTTTCTCCTTAATTCCAGGTTGCTTCTCTCCTTGATCAGTTTCCAACCGTTGTTTCTTTTCCTGCCCTCTGGTGCTTTGGTAAATAAGATGACCCCCTCTTCTTGGTGGCAGCCCCTCAAATACTGGAAAACTGCTATCATGTCTCCCCTATTTCTTCTTTTCTTTAGACTAGCCAAACCCAAGTCCTGCAGCTGTAGTTCATATGTTTTAATCTGCAGGTCTTTGATCATCTTAGTTGTCTCTCCTACTGATTTTCCCCCCAAGAATTCTACTTTGGATTACAAAGTCCATAGCATCCCCCATCTGCAGCACCACCCTCCTTCCTGCAGTCTCTGCTGACCCACCCAAGGCCTTGGCCGGCCTCCCCACAACACCCCCTGTGCTCCTGCCTCTTCCCATTTAACAACTCACACTTCCTGGGATTACAATGGCAATCAGGACTGCTGTTGCTAAGCAATGCAGTTACATGATGTCACATTTCAAGACTGCACTGCTTAGCAATGGCACTGCTGGTCCCAAATGCCACCATAACCTGAGAACCTCTATTATCTTTGGGCAGCACAAGAATAATATACTTGATCCCACTTCCTTCAGGATTCTACAAAACTAGTACAGAGGTTTGACCTTAGATTTAAAAACATTTCTCCAATCAAATGTTTTTTTTTATTTAGTATAAAAGTCAAACTCTGGGGGGGGAAGCATATCTGAATTAAAATTGAAAATAAACATTGCATTAAATTTTCTAAAGTAGGACTGAATGGATAACATTTCAATATTATGCAGGAAATCAGTAGGAAACAAGAAGACTTCTGACCCAGTATTCATTTTTTATCTATCATTATATTGAACATACAAGTAGAAATGTCAGGTATCAGCAAAGGAGGTAACAAAGTAATAAAAATTATTGCATGCTTTTTGATTTAGATAAAGTATACTATAAACTTGAATTATGGAACATTTTACGTGAATTATGGAGTTGAAGGTTGGTTGATGAATGTGATAAGAGTAGTATATAATGGAAATAAAGCATGCAGGTGATATTAGCTCAATGCCAAGCCAGAAGCATAAAAAAGATATGTAAGATCCCCTTTGTTATTTAACTAGATAGCCCATGACCAATTGGGCCAACCTTTCAAGGATATTTCCTTACTTAAATAGAGAAAATCTCTCTCTCTCTCTCTCTCTCTCTCTCTCTCTCTCTCTCTCTCTCTCTCTCCCCTCATTTTGAGTCATTTTGAATATTTAGTTTCTTTAAAAATCCTCAAAACAGTTTATAAGAGATTGAAAATTCATAAAATAAATAATAATCTGCAGGTGTTTCATGTTGGCAAATAACCATGCACTGTCTTGTGGTCAATAAATAATGGTAGGATGCATCTCCTACTGAAGCAGGGAAATAGCTCACAATGGATTTGGTGTCCAAACTGAGATAAAGAGGTTTTCTTTATGTCCTAGCCGATTCCAGGCTTCTGAAAGGAGATATTTCATTTATATATGAACACAAGGGGAGGGGGAATACCTTCTCAAATATAATCAAAAGTAGAGCTATACTTTCATCAGAATGAAACTATAATATGCCCTCATCTTTTATGTGGACAAGCTATGCTTTGATGTAGCTTTAGAATAACGAACAACCATGTCTTCTTAATTTGAAGGTACTGCTCCTGTAATTTGGGCACACCCTGCAAACAGATAATGAATTAGAAAAGCATGGTTCTGACAATGATGACAATGACTAAGGCAGATAGGCAAGCTCAAAGAGATTACTGGTAATGGCTTTGGAAGAGTCACAGGTTACTAAAAGGAATATGTCAAAATCCTGCACATTTTTCTATACATCACAGGGCACCAACTCAGCAGCATTTAATTAACTAACTGCTTTTATCCCTAGAGAGCCAATGTAGTTTTCTAATTAAGATATTGGACTAGTATCAGGAAGATCCAAACTCAAGTGTACTTTCAGTCATAAAAATCCATAGGGTCTTCTTTCAGCCCAACTACCCAGCACTGTTGATGGAAAAAGGAGTAGTACCATATACATTGCTGTTGCTCCTGAATTTAAAAAGTGTAATTGAAAAGCTCTGATTATCTCATCTGGCACTTTCTATGCAGAGACAATCATGACAGAGGGGAAGGGAGGGAAATAGTAAGAGTGGAGGGAGAGATTTAAAAACACCAACAGGAGGCTGGAAGGGAAGGAAGATGCAATAGTTATCCTAGTCTGAGAAAGAAAGCCAAAAGCTTGCCAGTGTTTTACAATATTTTACAAGCAATTTCAGATTATTTAAGGCATGAAAATGCCCTTCATTTTTTTTAAATCTCACTATGGTGAATGACAGTGGCAGTCTTCAAAATGAAACTCCCACATCAGGAATTGTGCAATGATAAATAATCAATATGAAATAGATTTATTCCATAAAATTGTAAGAAATTGTCATTGTGCTATATGCTATGTAAGTTAAATTAATATGTATATTTATTTCTTCCCTAATCATAGCACCAATGAAACCACTGGGGAAGGTGGGGTTGCACAAATATCATGTTAGGGACTTGTGGTATCAGAATGTGGGATTTTGTTAGAGAATTCTTGACATCAAACTTAATGAGTGTATGTGGAGAGAAATGGTATGACGAAAGCAAGAACAGAAAACTGGAGATCCTTCTAAACTTTTGGCTACTGCAGGATAAGCAGGTGGAAGGTATGTTTAGAGCTTTCAAGAGACAATACTTCAAGAAGATCCTCACTTTCCTTGAAATGGCCAGGCATCTCCAAAACTCTTGGGTTAGTAGATTCTGGAAGGAGGGGGACATTGTAGAGGGTATATAGGATGCAGGAATCTGTAACTACAGCTGTTTTAATAAAAGTAGCTTTGTTATCATGTTTGCAAACTTTTCCTCTATACAGCCATATAATATGCTTCATTTGTTACTTATATCAAGTTTCTCAACTAAAAGGCTTACAGTATTAAAAAACAGCCCCAGGTTATAATACAGGCATTAATGTTAATGATATTAGCCTTGGAACAGGAGTGATTAACAGCTGGTTCTCAATCTGTGTGATCTTAATCATGAGAAAGTAAGCAGTAAAGGCTTGTTTAATTACGGTAAACACAGTGTGTCACCAGCTAATTAGATATGATTGATTATTGCTAACTTCATTCTCTGCTCAAATTTAGAAGCAAACATTTGAATTCAATAATAAATGCTCAGAATGAACTTTAAGAATGTCACTTTGAGTATGTACAGTAGAGAAAAATATATTAAAAATAAAAAAAAATGTCAACAATGTTGAACAGATCAAGGATGTGCCAAAACAGGTTCAATGATATTCAGGTATAAACCCTGTCAGGTAATAATGACCTTAAAGGAAACATATGGGGTCATAGGTGCCGTTTACCCCACATATATTGTTTAATGCCAGCTATGGAGTCCATACTTGCTTATTCAATGCATCTGGTTCCTCATCCATTCTCCCAGGCAGGAAGTCCCTGCATGTGATGGAATATAATCCTGACTGGCAGGAGGAGGTTGTACATTTCAGAGCAACAAGAGACAGCCAAGTTTAGATATGTTGGAGCAGGGGTCTTCAAACTTGGCCCTTTTATGACTTGTGGACTTCAACTTCCAGAATTCCTCAGCCAGTGTGCATGGCTGAGGAATTCTGGGAGTTGAAATCCACAAGTCATAAAAGGGCCAAATTTGAAGACCCCTGTGCTAGAGGAAGAGAGTTAAGATGGCTCATCCCTAAGAGTTTTCAGAGTATATGTTTAAAAGTTAAGTAGCCTGCTTTAGTTTGGCAAGATTTTTGTCTATAGGTGAGGAACAATAAATAAAACTGCTAGAAGAACCTCTGCGTGTTTTTCTTGGTTTTTGGAGCATGATGCTGCATTTTGCAATGAGTGACTCATGAGTAAGCAGCAAGCCCACTTGGACTTGGCAGCTTGGCTCCCTCTTGATAGGTGCAAAAGACGCTGTAGTTGTTTACACCCAGCAGGGAGAGGATTTACACAACACTCTTCAGCTGCTGAAAGTAAACTCAACAGCTGGCTCTTCTCACAGTGCCTGCATTCAGATGGCATTTATGCTGGCTTCTGAAGGTGGACCATGAAAAAAGGTGAGGTCCAACATTACTCTCTAACTACTTATCTTTCTCTAGGGCAGGGGTCTTCAAACCTGGCCCTTTTATGACTTGTGGACTTCAATTCCCAGAATTCCTCAGCCAGCATGCCTGGCTGAGGAATTCTGGGAGCTGAAGTCCACAAGTCATAAAAGGGCCAAGTTTGAAGCCGCCTGCTCATATCCTCCAGAGATATTGTGACTCTTAACTCCCAGAATTCCTAGCTAGTAAAGTTTTACTCTACTGCTTCCTATTTTTTTATTAGTGAAATATATAAAAAAGTAATACAACAGTGAGAGTATAGTAAAACATTCATGCAAATAGCAATTAAAGAACAAAACTTAAAGGAAAAGAAAAGAAATATATCCATGCAATATTAATATAAAACTAGCTCAACCATTTAATATATTAACTCTACTTGATATCATATAAAAATCTTTGCTTTATCTTAAGTTTAGAATAAAAAATTACAAGAATTGATAAAGTGCATATCTCTTGAATTCATTAAGCGTTTAACATTCTCTTCATATAGATAATTTTCTTTGCCAAACCCCAAAACGACAGAGCCAATATTTTTCTTAAGAGTCAAATATCATGCTTTGGCATAATTCCTTATTGTATTTACATCTTTAACTACTGTATTTTTCTCCAAAGTTAAACAGGTAGTCCTCGACTTA